ACCGCGGTTCAATCCCCCAGCACCACATGCCAGTCAGCCCCTCCCCCTGGTGGGCTGAGCTGGCCACACACACACACAAATAAATTTTTTTTAAAAAATTTAAAAAAAAAAAAAAAAAGCAAATTTTGATTCCTATAAAAGAACTGAGAACTGCAACTGGAGGAAAAGAGAAACACCAAAGCAGAGATGGAACACCACTGGTCCTTAGTCCTTATCTGACTCTCGGGTTTGTTAGATTATTCTCATGGCATTTGTTTTCAATTTTAAATTGTAGATTTCTTTTTTAATGGAAAGTTTCACATACAAAACTAGAGTTTTTATGTCTCTCAATAATTCACAAGATAGTGTTTAGAGATGTAGCTCAGTGTGAAGGCTCTGGGTTCTATCCCCCGTACCAGAAAACAATTTCTGTTTTTACTAAACTATAGCCACTTGGAGGCTCCATCCCAGCATGGCAACACTCAACCATGTCAGTGACTGGTCTCTTGGTAGGGCCAGCTCACTTTTCACATACATTCTGTTATCTGCAAATTACAAATTTGCAAACCCTGAAAAAGACAATAGTGTGACCAGATGCTGGCCAACTATGGCCCCAATGCAGCCTACTGCTTATAAATGCATATTAATGGAACACAGCTGAATCCACTCACTCACGTACTGCTCATGGCTGTGGTCACAGTAAAAGGCAGAGCTGACTCACTGCAACAGATACCATATGGCCTGCAAATGATTTTCCACCAGATACAGAAGTTTATCGAGCTTTGCTCCATGCCACCCGTTCTCCATCAATCCTACTAGCGATCATGATGCTACTTCAAAACAAGGGCTAGAAATGGGCCATCACACTCACCTGGGACACTGCACAAGCCTCGTCGGGATTCTCCAGGCGCAGGAGAGAAAATTCAATTAGGACTTTACAGGCTGCTGCCACCGACTGAAGCTGGTTGCGGGGAACTGAGAAAATGATACACTTTAATCTCAGACTGCTCAGTCTCCTCGCAATAAATCACACCAATCAAGTACTGATCTTCACACATCTAACATTTCCCAGTATTATTCTATAATAGCCATTCAGAAGCAACAACTCAAGGAAAGAAAAGCATTTTCACGGTGATAAGCATTATTGCTTATAGATTAATTTATCTTAGTGCCAACCACAACGACTATATTAGCTCATTTAATCTTTAGTCCAATTCTATAAGCATATTATTACTGGCCTCTCCCATGTTTAACAGATGAGCAAACTTCAGCACAGAGAGGTTAAATCACATGCCCCGTCACACGCCTAGACTCCAAATCCTGGAAGTTTGCCTCCTGAGTTCACCCTGTTGGGCATGTATGTAACCTCCCCTTTCCCATGGGTTCTAAACAACTATTTTGCAAGGCACTTCCTGTATAAAGTTTCCTGGGGCTGGGGAGATAGCTCAGTAGAATAAGTGCTTGGCTGGCAAGCACAAAGTCCTGAGTTCAATCCCTGGTTCCACCAAAAAAAAAAAAAAAACCGTTTCCTGCGCTCACTTCGGCAACACATATACTAACAATGGAACGATGGAGAGTTTAGGATGGCCCCTGCACAAGGACAACATGTACATCTGTGAAGCATTCCACAGTTTTTGCCACTGTGAGAACCTGAAAGCGTAAATTTAGTCTGAAAGGTTCAATCGATACTGTGAAAGGGAAAAATATTTGTTCAATGAGAAGGAAAAAATGGGATGAGGAAAAGCACAAAAGAAAGAAATATAAAAGATATATTTATGTATACGTGCAGAATAGTTTAGATAATTAAACTGCCAGTTTCTGCTGGTTGTCTTTTGTTTTTTGTTTTTTTGTGGATGGTTCAGCCCACCCTGGGGTGGGGGTGGTGCAGCATGTGGTGCTGGGGATTGAACTGTAGTCCTTGCACTTAGCTAAGCTGGAACTAAGCAGGTGCTTCTCGCCAGCCCTCCACTAGCCTTTTGAAAGGAGCAGTTAATGCTTAGGGGTTTTTTTTCTTTTTATTCTTTTATTTTTCAATTTCTTATAACTTTTTGTTTTTTTTTAAAACCAATTTTGCACACTTATATCTGGTAACCTAAACAACTAATTTTAAGATAACTTTATGCAATACAGTAACCACGGTTGAATTTCTATTAGCATTCAGTGAAATTTTGTATTGTTGTTAATGCTTATTTTTTTTGTTTTATAACTATTTCGTATTCTTAAAAAAAAAAATTTGTTTCCTTAAGCTAACAGCTACAGCTATCTGTCCCTACAATAAATAGCACTTCACAATGAAAGATGATTCAGCAATATACAGGTTCCTTTCAGTATACTAGCTTAATAACTATCCAAGTAAATAATTTAAATTTTTCAGAGTTATTTAAATTAGGATAAAAAAAACCCAAAACTGAAAATTCAAAGATTCAGAAATAAGGGCCAGCCAAATAGCTCAGTGGATTAAAGCAACTGCAAGCAGGTGCAGGGGCTGGGGGTTCGATCCCCAGGGCCTGCTGTGCCTGTCCCACCCCCAGGGCGCGCTAAGACAGCAATTGAGCCTGGGTATGGTGGCGCATGCCTGTAATCCCAGCACTTGGGAGGCTATAAACAGGTGGATCACTACGAGTCTCATCTAGTAGTGAGACCCTGAATACCCTGTAGACCCTTCCCTAAAATAAAGAAAAAAAAACCCTCAGAAATAATATAAAACAGACTTTGGTCACTTTGAGGGTAGGAAAATTCATATACTAGAGACCACAAGGGAATTCACATTTCCACCCAAACCAATAAGGAACAAAGCCTTGATTTGTAACTGTTAGACCCAGAGATTAGCATCTGCTACCACCATCACCCCCCCACACACACACAAAATTAACTCCCAAGTGACTACACGTTTGAAATCAATAAAATGCTTTTGATAAGAGACGGAACTGGCCAGACATGGTAGCCCGTGCCTTCTGTAAACCTAGGTCACTGAGAGGCAAGGGTAGGAGAACAGCAAGTTCTAGGCCAGCACTGGCAACTTACTAGGACCCTGTGTCAAAATAATTTTTTAAAAAGCTAGCAATATAGGGCCGGGGAGATGGCTCAGTGGAATAAGTGCTTCCCTGGCAAGCACAAAGGCCTGAGTTCAATCCCTGGTTCTGCAAAAAAAAAAAAAAAACCCAAACTAGCAATATAGCTCAGCACTCTCTGGATTCCACCCCCAGTACCACAAAAAGAGGAAAAAGAAGGAGGAGGGAAAAGAGAAGGAGGGAAAGAGGAGGAAAAGAGAGCAAAGAAGAGGGAATAGCAGAAATGGTGAAAGCAAGAAGGGGAACATGAGGAGGAGGAAAAAGTACAAGAGGGGGAGAAAAAGGAAGAGAAAGTACAAGACGTGGGGAAAGGAGGACGAGGGAGAAGGGAGGAAGAAGGCAGCAAGGATGGTCACAGGCAAGACTGACAAAATGACTGTGAAACAGGCACCCCAGCCCAGTAGCTTCTGAAGCCACTAGATGTGCCTGCGTAAGGGAGCCTCTGAGCCCCAGCACAGCCAACAGCTGTCGCCACTCTCGGGGGAAGCAGCTTAGGAGTGCTAAAGCAGACTACAATAACAGCTTGTTTGGATGCTCTGACAAGAGGACAAATAGTATCCCCATTCACCAACCCTCAGAAGGAAGGGACAAGAGCAATACTTACTGAGGCTGCAAACTGTTGTAATATAGTGTGTGGAAAGTGCAACAAAAGATGAGTAGAACGGCTCATACTGCTTCTCGTGGTGCAAGATTTCCGATTCACTGAAAAGAAAATCCAGCCATTACTTATTTACTGCCTCTTAAATGCCATACACCCTTTATAGGCATTCATTTAATCCTTTCAGCAACTCTGGTAGGTAGTATTAACATCCTTATATTCAAGATTAGGAGCTGGGGTCCAGGGAGATAGCTCAGTAGTGTAACTGCCTACCTGGCAAGTGCAAGGTCCTGAGTTCTAATCCCAGGTTAAAAAAAAAAAATTGGGATCTGAGATGCAGCTTAGTAGCTGAGTGCCTCCCCTTGACCTTGCAAGGCTCAAGGTATAAATGCTGGTATTGGGGCCGGGGAGATGGCTCAGTGGAATAAGCGCTTCCCTGGCAAGCGCAAGGGCCTGAGTTCAATCCCCAGTTCCGCAAAATAATAATAATAATAATAATAATAATAATATAAAAAATAAATAAATGCTGGTATTATTTTAAAAAAAAAGATTGGGAAATAAAGCCTAGACTTAAGTGGTTTATGATATGAGGCTTAGTGAGCATACACTAATAAACAGGAAACATTTTCAAACTTATTTAAAACTAAAATGCAAGTAAAAAGTAACAGGATACCAATGTGTTCCACAGTATAACAGTGAGTAGCAAACACCAAAAAAAAAAAAAAAAAAAGCTAGTAACAGCTTTTGTAAAAAAGAGTGGACCAGACCACTCAAAATACTATTAGTGAGGATACAGATTAAAGCAATTCATTTTGGTAGCTTGGCATTGTGGTGCACACCTGCAATCTCAACACAAAGGAGGCTGAGGCAAGAGACTGCCATGAGTTTGAGGATAGCTTGGGCTACACAGTACATGAGTTCTAAGCCAGGCTGAACTCCATAGCAAGACTCTGTCTCATAAATAAATAAATATTTAAAAGACTTGATGTGATTGCTTAATGTGGAAGTATCCAAAACTGACTACCAGAGGCCAGACAGACAGCTAGCTCCGCAGATGAAAGCCCTTGCTTAGGCAGCTGCAAGGACTGGGTTCAGTTCCCAGTGTGGGACAGCAACTGACTGAGACTGAGCGTGGTGGCGCATGCCTGTAATCTCAGCACTTGCGAAGCTGAAAACAGGGGGACCATGAATCTTTGTAGTGAGACCCTGTACTAAATACACTAAAAAAAAAAAAAAAAAAAAAAATTCTTCCTCTTACCCGTCAGAGGTCATGAAAAAAAACAAACAAACCTGACTACCAGAGTACCAGGGCCACTGCCCCAGCCTGGCCACCCTCCCATGTAAGCTAAAAGGTAGGTAACAACAGATTTGGAGACATTTAACCATGTCTTTCATCATTAGCTGAGGAATTACTGTCTTGAAAATCTTGAGCCCACTAAAGGTAATGGCTGTATGCATACAACTCATTTAATCTACCAAATCAGATGCTGGGCCAGGGAGATGGCTCAGTGGAATAAGTGCTTCCCTCGCAAAGCGCAAGGGCCTGAGTTCAAACCCCAGTTCCGCAAAGGGGAAAAAAAAAAAAATTCAGAGGCTAACCCACAATCATTGAAACATGAAGGGACAGAGAAGACTAAAGTGTATCTTATTAAATGGTAAGAATAGAGATAGGGCTAAACAGTTTTCTTAGTGAGTTAATCCCCAGTAAGAAGTGTCAGCCGAGCAAGACATATGTAAACAGAGTTAGGGCCCCACTCACTGCCAGCAAGACTATCCACCTGCCAAATGAACACAGGAGCCAAGAAGACGAGCCAATGTTTAGAAGATGCCAATGTGAGTGACAAATCACCTCAAACACCAGTGAAAAGTCTGGCAGACAAGTACTGTGGTATTTGAAGATTTATAAAGAAGGATTAAGTGGGTACGTACCAAAGATTAGTCCTCGCTTTTAGGATAGGCCCACCAAGAAAAAAAATATTTATGGAGCACTTATGATACAGAAGGATCTTTCTGTCCATCAGGAGTCAGTTTTCCTTGTTGTCACAACAGATTAAAAACAGGATGCACAAACTTTTGGGCACTAAGCAGCACTGAAAGTTCTTGGTAACCAGCTCGTTTATAAAATTCATATATTCAGGACAAAAGTCTGTAGTCAATCCCCTTGCTCCTATCTCACATACTTAGTTTCTCCTTTATTTCCATACTTCCTTGTTCTGAGGTTTTCCACTCTACAATTTGATATGTTTCCTTCCTTGAGTTATTTACCTTTCTTGATTTACTTCAAAAGCTTAGAGCTGGTTAGATCTATTTTTATGCTGATTAATAGATTTATCAAATTCAAGAGAAAAAGTGCTCACTCAACAGATGAACTTAATCTGTTTTCATAAAATGAATGAGATTCCCCTTCCCAAAGATACGTCTTTGCTCTACATAATTAAGTGAAGAATAAGTTCATGTAACTGCCTGGCTCAGTGTCATCCTGCTATAAATTTCTCTTTCTTAATGTGTGGATATATCCATGTTGGGGACTGAAACTGAATCTCTAGGATCCCAGTGATTTCACTAACCTGATTTCCTTCCCAAAACACACACAAGTCTTATTCCAACAAGGAAACAGAATTGGGCAAGGAAAATGCAGCCCTCTTCAGCTCCTTACAAGGCTAGGACAAATACAAATAAACCTGAGAAATGTAAGTATTTAAAAGGCCTGAAGAGCTAGGTGTGGTGGCATGCCTGTAATCCCAGCACTCTGGGAGGCTGCCGTAGAAGACTGTGAGTTCAGGCCCAGCCTGAGCAGAGCAGCAGTTTGGTGAGACAAGCTGAAGATACATCTTGGTACAGAAGCCCTGGGTGCAATTCCAACCTCAAGGGGCGGGGGGACCCCACACAAAGGAGGACAAAGGAAGTAATGGATGATACCATGTCTTGCATTCTCACATCTTCTTTGCTCAGGCTGGGCTCAAACT